GTATTCGCGTGGGCGAGCATACGTGAAGCCGGCTCGTATCGCTCGCGTATCGTCGGCTGTGCTAGACGTGATTATCCGACGCGTCCGAGAAATCGCGAATAGCTGCCGCGTCTCGCGCGTTGTTCCGTCCAATCGACCGAATCCCATTTTCTCCCCCTCGCCGTTCTTGCTCGCTTTTTCGCGCGCCGTTCGCCGGGAAAACAGGCCCTTGCCGGGAGTCCACCGAACGGCGGCAGTTTCATTCCGAAGATTGGCGGCCAATGGCGCGTAAACTCACACGGGAAACAACACGCGGTCTTTGTGGGATTCGTGCCCGTAACCAGTCTGTCAGTTATTCAGGCTGAGAGGTGCGAGAGAGTGCTCCCGGCCCCCATCCCCGATGTTTATTCTCGAGTGCTCCTCTCTCTCTCCCGGGAGAGCGTAACATCTGTCGATCTTAACGAAATGCGGTTTTCCCCGCGAGTTCCAGTCCTGCGGCTAGTATCCGCGACTTGTATCCGTGAATCGCGTCCAATATATCTTTTTTGCGGACGTATTAAATTCCGCGTTTCACGCGACATAAAACTTGCAGGAAGATTATCAAGATGAATTCTCGATGGAATGTGAATTTGTCATTTATGACGTTTATTATCTTTTTGAAGTTTCCAATTGATAAAACACATCACAAGTTGTTTTATGCACGGGATAACAAATTGTCTGTATGTTATGGGAGTGCAATTCGCCAAATCGTTTTGGCAGAGACAACTTAACGTTTATTTCAGAAAGGGGAAGAGATATTTTAGTCATATATTTCTTTTTGGATTGACATATATTAGAATATAACATATAACGATCGGTATATACCGTTACTGCCTGGATTATTAACGTAAAAATTCTCCGCGGTACAACAATTAGGTCCGTAATCTCTTTACATTGTTTAAGTAAAGTGGCAAGAATTTCGAGCCTTAATAATAATTCAAAATGGTAAGAAGTATTAATGCCAGATTATCATCAATCATGAAAAATACATTATCTTCGTCGAGGAAAACTCGAGAATTCGCCAGAGGCGCGACAGAATTGCTAAGATTCTTTTCTCCTGTCTTATCCTTTTTCTCGTCGCTGTTTTTTTCAGGATATTTTTCCACTTTCTAAATTTTATACTTCCCGGA